CCCGGCCACCCCAGAACGGGCCACGTGTAGGGGCACTAAGTAAAATAATAAACTGATAAAGTTTGTCCATCTAGAGCCCACTGATGGTCATTGTTATACTAAAAACCACAAGGACCAGGATACCTCTCTCTGTCAGACTGATTATAACCTTTGGAAAAGAGAAGGGGTCATACAGGTAGCAGAAATGGAGGGTGTGTTTGCACCTCAACCATAACTGAGCCGGTTTAGGCTAAACCTGACTCCCCCTTACTCCATCCAACAAGGAGGGAGGAAGGCGGACGTAAAAAATAAGGAAGATAGCTTAAGCCATTCTAACTGTAAGGTTTATCAAAAAGGAAAGTTTTAAGCTTAGCTTGAAAAGTAGACAGGGTGTCCGCCTCATGGACCAAAACCGGGAGCTGGTTCCACAGGAGAGGAGTTCGATAACTAAAGGATCTGCCTCCCATTCTACTTCTAGAGATTCTAGGAACCACCAGTAAACCTGCAGTCTGAGAACGAAGTGCTCTGTTAGGAACGTATGGAACAATCAGATCTCTGATGTATGATGGAGCTAGATCATTAAGGGCTTTATATGTGAGGAGGAGAATTTGAAATTCTATTCTGGATTTAACAGGGAGCCAATGAAGGGAAGCTAAAATAGGAGAAATCTCTTTACACTTTTTGTACTTCCTTTGCTTTGGGTTTATTTCACTAATTATCAACTTCCACATGGAAGATATTGTTGTCAGCACGACCTGGTAGCAGTTTGTCTGGTACATTCACTGTTTATATAAAGATCTGATTTTTAGTTTCCAGTTTGAAACCGGCTTATTTGTCATTACTTTTATCTCCTGTCACTTCTGTTCTTGGTTTCTGATCCTCACACTTGCTCCACATCATTATCATCTCCCTGTTTATATATTTATGGCTCAGGCTGGTCCAGTCCTAATGTTGTCATGTTATTATACTTCCCCTTTTTTTGATTGCAGAGCTTTTTGTTAGACTTTTACTACACAGTGTCCTTAACATGTACTTCACTCTGAGAGTCTTCCTGTTATTTGAGTCCTGTTTTGTACCTGCTCAGGTTTTTATCCTGTATCCCTTAGATGCTGAACATCCCCATGCTAGTAGGATTCAAGCTATAGTAACCCTGCAATTTAAAGGGACCCAGATGCAGTTTTGATAAAAAGAAAGCAGACGTTTCAGCTGATAAAGAAAAAGAAAAGGAATCTGGTCTTGACCAGGTTGTAAAATTATTAAAGTGTACACTGACTCACAACAGAATTCACTCTTTCATTACTTACTAAGCAAAGATGAAGGCAAAAAGTCTGACCCGTCCAACAGCTTGTAGAGCCACCTCTAGCAGTAATAACTCTCGGTAGACTTCTTTCCAACTTTATCTGTCTCCTACATCGTTGTGAAGGAATTTGGCCCACTTTTCTTTGCTTGCTTCACAGAATTTAGGAGAGAAAGGAACCAGGTGCTGCAGATCAAATTTGCTCATTAACTGATCATTATGTGAACACTTATAAAAAAGTAAGTTCTGTCAGTTTGCTTCTCTGGAGCATACAGGTGTGTTTTAACACAATGCAAAGACTGAAAGACATCAGCAATGACCTTAGAGAAACTTTTTAAACTTTTAAAAAGTGAGTTCCAGAAAGGATAAGTATCTTTGTGAGATACTGTTATTTGCTTGTAAAAAAAATCAAAAGTGGTTTGTATTATACATGATGCAAACTGCCACATGGACTGGAGAGCCCCAAGTTTTGTTTACCGTTTTAGATGTTGTTAAAAGTGCCCAAGAGACTCCCAATATTTTCTAATGCAGAATGTCTCATTACAAATAGAATTGTACTTCTCAAAAAGATAGATGTTTTTGATGTTGTTAAAAATGGAAATGTCTGTCTATTTTTAAATTAACTTTAAAATCAAACCTTTTGATTTTATTCTAGATGATAAAATCAAGCTCCAAGTAAGTGGAAAGTTCTGACAGAACAACAAGAGAAGGCAGTAGTAAGCACATCTAAACAGATGGATGCAGATACAAAGGAAAAATGTGGCTGGATAAGCTGCCAGCTGGAAAGCAGCCAAGAAAAACGGATAGCATACTTTATAATAGGCTCAGTGTTGTGAACGGGGCTTGTTCATGTGCTCTAACAGGGCAAGGGAATGCTAAAAATCTCCAAATAGCACTTTATTACACTGGCTCTATAACAGTTGTAAAGAAAACAATCCTGTCAGCCAGCCAGATGTTCAGGTTGGTTTTCCTTTAAGGAACTATTTAATTAAAATACAAGTCAGTACTGTGGAGAGCTGATAAAGTTTCTCATAAAGTTAATATCTCTAAATCGAGGGCAGATGATGGATATTCTACTGATTTCAAAACAAAAATTTGTAAATTCAGTTGTTCTACTTCTACATTTTGCTTTGAACTAAACTCAGTGAACAAAGCAGATCAGCGTCCTGTAAAAATGGTTCAGTTTGGACATCACTTAATCTGCATTGAGAATAGTGGAAACGACAACGGCCACCAGAGGGCATACGAGGTAGCGTTCAGCAGTTGCAGGATTGTCCGACAGTAAAGCTCAGCAGCACAGGGGAAACAGACCAATTATGAGCAGTTGATAGATTCTGAGAAGAGGTTGCATGATTATGAATGTTCACATGTTGGAACTGCTCAGCATATGACTTGATTCTCGGGTCTTGCGACTACCAAGGGAAAACCTAATTTTTGCTGCAATGACTGAGTGAAAAAAATGCCAGCCATCTGTAGACACCTGGAAGCCCCAGCAATGATTGAGCTGGCTGACCTGGCATGCCACAGAGAGTGTAGCTAAAGGCGGTTATTTACTGATTGTTAGGGGCCAGGGGTTGGTCCAAAAGCTCACTTCATCGTCCCAGGGAGGTCCAGGGATTCAAACTTCTCCTTATCCACCTGCAGTTTAAAATAATCGGTCCAGGTTTCATTTATCAGCCCACTTTTTGACAAGTTTTTTTATTTGACTAACAGGAGCAGAACCTGGAAGGTTCAGCTGTTTCAGGTTGAATCGGTGTGGTCTTTCTTTTCTCTGCAAAGCCAGGTGTTTCCATAAAGGAACCTTCTGATTCTGTCCAAATAAGGTTAGACTTTTCTACAACATGATTGGATATTTTCATGTGTAAAATGTGCCTATGTTCAAAATGAAGTGTATATTAAGAAAGATTTCATGATAAATGTTTATAAGAGGTGAACAAAACATGCTGACAAACTCAAATATCGTAATCTTGAATTTGTGAAGTAAAATTTATGAGCAGCTGCTTCATCCACCACAGTCTTTGGGTTTTGTTACCCACAAATCCATGCCAGGGTTATTTGCCAGTGCACTGATGCAAACTCTTCAAAAAAAGTTGCGCGTGCAGCTCAGTTTTAAGCCTTAAACAGTGGGTATGGACAAAAATTGGGCACATAAAAATCCATGTGTTTCTGTTGACACTCACAGGCCATGAAAACAGGTCTGCGTGAACACAACATAATCCCGAAGAAACATCTGCCAAACACCGGTCAGCTACAATTACCATAAACATGATGTCATATCATTAGTCACGGGGTTATACAATCAGTCATTCGACTCCTTTTGGTTGCAGGTTCAATTTAATCCTAAAAAGTGACTCACAGACCAATTAAAGCAAACTTTGATTCGTGAGAAATGTGCTGAGAGTTTAACTGGCATCAGAAGTCATGAACAGTGCTCACCATTACGTTATGATTCTGTCCAACATTATTAGTTTGGGGCCACACCTAATTTCCCCCAACAATGGTTGAGAAAGTGTCATGATTTATAAACAGTAAAAAACAGGAGATCTTGGGACAGAAACTTCCAGAGGGCTAGAATAAGGCAAATTGCAGCTGAATTGAAGAGTTTTTATTGGTTGCTTTAAAGATTTGACAACATTGTCTTAATAACTATTTTACATTAGGCCAATGTAAATCTGACATCTAGTTTTCCTGGAATGGTAACATTTAAGCTCACATAAAGTGGATCCCTCAGTTTAAAGTGTGCATGACTGTGACCAGAGTCCAGTTAATAGTAAGATTTTATTTTTGAAACAAGCTTCCCTGAAGTTATCAGTAATATTCACCTTTTCCCATTTTCTGTGTTAGACAAGTGTAAGTTTTGTTGAAAAGGGAATAAAACCACCAAGGTTAAAAAAAAGCTGACAGGGTTCCAGTTTTAGTTGATTTTAGCTATTTAAAAAAACTCAAGCTTAAAACCTGCATATCTCTGCAATACAACAACGTTTTTGTGGATGTTCACCATTACTAGAGCAAAGTTTGAAACATGTTGTAAAAGTCTTTTTGCTGTCTTCATCATCTCCACTGATTCATCAGTCTTCAGACATCAGCATTCTGCAGCCTCTCAGCTACAACCACTGCTGTAGGTCAATTAAACAACCCGTTTTGATTTATTCCAGAGAGCTGCTTTTGAACTTGGGATCAAAGCCGTTATTAATTGTTTTTGATGGTTCAGTAAGTTTCTATTCATACATTTCCACACTGAAACTCAAACATGAAGCATGAGCGTCTGTCCACACCCTTCTGTCGCCTTCCCATTATGACCCCCCCAGTGACTCAGCTGGGAATAAGTCCCTCAAACATTGAAGCTGAAAAGGAATTCCACAAGTAGGACTTAAGAGGTCAACACCTCAAGGAGCCAGGGTGTGTGCCAGGTTCTTCAGAAACCATACATCACTGACAGTGGTGAAAATGGGCAAGTACCCACACTGGGGGTCACTAAATCTCAATGCTTGAAGTTGGTGGTCTACCTTTGTCCCCTCTGACTGCTCATTCTTTTACTCTGAACAGAGAAAAAATGCTAATAAAAAGTAACTAAATGGTGCTAGACCTTCAAAGTACCCAGTGCAGTGTAAGTATACTGTTACAAATCAGTAAGAACAATCAGGTTCTTCAGTAAATGTCAAACAGTAACTGCTTTGGTGTTAACATATTTTGATTAATAATAATCACTGTTCCATTGCAGGGCTGCACGGTGGAGCAGTTGGTAGCACTGTTGCTACCAAGAAGGTCCTGGGTTCGATTCCCGGTCGGGGGTCTTTCTGCATGGAGTTTGCATGTTCTCCCCGTGCATGCGTGGGTTCTCACCGGGTACTCCGGCTTCCTCCCACAGTCCAAAGACATGCTTGTTAGGTTAATTGGTCACTCTAAATTGCCCTTAGGTGTATGAATGAGTGTGTGCATGGTTGTTTGTGTGTTGCCCTGCGATGGACTGGCGACCTGTCCAGGGTGTACCCCGCCTCTCGCCCATAGACTGCTGGAGATAGGCACCAGCTCCCCCGCGACCCACTATGGAATAAGCGATAGAAAATGACTGACTGACTGACTGTTCCATTGCCTAACATCTATTGCTATGATTTTAAGAAAGTGGGTGAAAATGTGATCATTTAGACCTGAGTTCAGTCCACATTGGCCCCAAGATTTCATCAACAAGTTGCTGCTCTCAAGTTGCAGATCAGAGGTTCCATCCACTCATCATCATCGTAGAGATGAATGTCATATATTTTTGCTTTGTTCATGATTTATTTTTGTTATTTTTTTTCGAGAGTGGCATAGTTATACAACATATAACTGCAATGATTTTTTTAAACAGAAATTAGGGCAAACAAAAATTTACTGTCTATTTTCTCTGATCCGGGGACAGAATTACAGCGACTTACACAAGTTTTCACAACTCTTACACACTTTCATGTTTTGTTGCAGTCATAGACCTTGGTTTATTAAAGTGATATGATAAAAAATACATTGTGGTCCATAATTGTGAAGTGGGAGTAAAAATGTTTCTAAATCTTGTACAATTTGTTCAAAACTAATTAAATAATCGCAACGGCAAATTAAGCGTTGTAAATCCAAGTTTCTTCAAAGAGTCACTGTAGATGGTAGACACTGTAGATCTCCTGTAGTTGTCAGTATTACAGAGAGTCTGAAGAAGAGTCTGACTGAAGACACTCTTGCTGGTGAAGAGGATGCTCAGTTCTGTGCATTATGTATATGTTTTTCATTCTATGAAGCTTTACAATCATTTCCAAATGCTGCAGGTCAGTCTTCAGAACAAAGTCACATTTTTTTTATCAGACTTACATCTGTTTTCAGTAAAAAAAAAAGGCTCTGAAGCTGCTCCTCCAACACATAATGGCAGATAAGATTGCACTGTCCACATTAGGCTTATAGAACATCTGCAGTACCATGTGCAGTACCAATTCCATTTATTCCCCCAAGATGGAAATGATATTTTTCCTAATACCTACAACCATTTGTTTTGTTCACATTGTAGATGAGATGATTGTTTACAATACATATCAGAAAAAATGGCACGCATATAGCGATGGGTACCTTTCACATTTTAACCGATGCCTGGTACCTGAGAATCGGTATTGGTACTCAACGGGAACCAGTTTTCGGTACTTTTGTGTGTGTTTAGGTGGTAATTAATGTTAATTTGTTTAATAATAAAATTTCAAAGTTTTTCAATTTAACTTATTTATTTCTCAATATATAAACTTTAATGACTATATCAAAACAACATCCAGCTGTTTGTATTGTAACATCACAGTTGCTTCAAACATTTCCTCTCCCAGTTGTTAACAGATGCAGACGTGTAACGGTGCTGAATGCAGGAGTTGTAGCCGTAGACATGAGGCTGACGAAAATTGTGCACTCTTCAGCCTTCAGAAACATATTGTGCTTTACCAGGTGCTTCGTCAGAGTAAAAGTATTCCCGCTGCTGGTCTTGCACCTTGTGTCACAAATGTTGCAGCGTACATAATCTGCATCGCATTTTGAAAAGTGGAGCCATACTTTTGAGGGCTTTCTATCAGTCATGCTTGCTTTGTTGGCTGTACCAGAGGCTACTGACATCATTTCACTCTGGTGCGTGCAATGCTCTGTTCATGTCCAGCATGAAAAATCACCCACTATTCCACTTCCTCAGTGTCACAACGATGCATTTAGATACCAAAACATCATATCATTTGATTTTATGTGACTTGAAGTACCAACGAAATTTGGCCGGTACCTAAAAAAGTACAGAATTCGGTGCCCATCCCTACATGCACATTATGTATTTTCATCCCCCTTTATCTGATATCTCTACATAAACCAACCTCTTGCCTTTAGAAGCTATCTAATTAGTAAATAGAATGAACCTGTGTCTAAATAAATCTTAGTATAAATACAATCGTTCTTTGTAGGTGTCAGATTTGTTACAGAACAGACAGCAACATGAGGACCAAGGAGCCATCCAGACAGGTCAGGGATAAGGTTTTGGAGAAGTTTAAGGCACAAACTTTAAACATCTCATTCATCAACTAAAAAGAACAAAAGTATGTTGCAACTGCAACCCTACCAAGACACTGTTGTCCAACTAAACATGAATTTGGGGCAAGCGGAGCATTAAACAGAGAAGCAACCAAAAGACCAGTTGTAACTCTGGAGGAGCTGAAAAATCCCCAAAAATTTAGGTGGGGAAATCAATCCCAATTTTAACAAAATTTTTGTTTTGCAAGTTCCCCCCAGAATTGGGGCCTTTTTTGTAACTTTAAAAGATCCAAAAAACCCAAATTTTCAAAAGTTTGCCCCAAGCCAAAGTGGGGGAAAAGGGACTCCCCGTCGAAAATTTTATTTGTGGTCTAAATTCAAACACAGTATGTTATAATGTGAAAATTTTACCTTTCACTAAATATCACCTTGGGAAAACACTGTACCCGCCAAAAAAAAAAATTTGGGGGGTTTTAAAATCATTTTTGGGGGGGGATGTTTTTTCAAGGGAATATTGGGACAGGGAAACTGGTCATAGTTGATCTGAAGATGGATGGAGGGATTTATTGTAAAATATTTTGAAAACCATGTTTTATTTTCTTTCCAGTTTACAATTATATTATCTACTTTGCTTTTTCCCAAAAAAAATTTGGGGAAAAATATTTTTGGTTGTAAAGTGGCCCTAAAGTGAAAAAGGGTTTTAAAAATTGATTTGAAATGAAAAACATTTGCCAAAATTTCTGGATATATTTGTATGTTTCACAAACCCAAAGGGAAATACTGTGTTGCCCTGAAAGCAATTTTCTGAATCAGTATGTGTAGGTTGAAGTAAATAACATTAAAATGTTTCGATATTGTTAAAACCCAATTGTAAACCTGGGTTTTTTGAGAAAATTTAACTTGGGAAAAACCCACGGGAAATTCTGGCTCCGGTTTTTAACTACTCCCACCCAAAAGTTCTCCGTTCCCAAAACCCCCCGGGGTGTGGTCCCCGGCGGTGGTTCCCCTTTACTCCTGGGGCAAAAGACAGGAGACAGCGCCCGGGACCCCCCCAGATTTTGGGGGGCCCCCCCACATCCCTGCCACTCAGCGGGCCGCTTGGGGGAAAAACTACCACCTTTGCTTCCCCCATCCCCCCGCCCCAGGCCGACCAAACGCCGCCCACATCAATCCAAAATGGAAAAAAACCCTCCACCCCCAAAGGCTGCAGAACCCCCCCCAAGCACCCCCCCACCTAACCGGGCCCCCATCACCCCCCCACGAACCCCCATCCCCCCCCACCAAAACCACACACACAAACCCCGGGCAGCCAGCAGAGCAAACACACCACCAAACCCCCCAACAGGGGCCAGCAGCCTTTTCAGCCCCACCAGTCCGTGAGAGGGGTTTTACATGCCCGCCCGGGGACCGGGGGATGCAGGCCCAAAAAAAGCCAAAAGGGCCAAAACACAACCCCCCATGGGAGTCTTGTGCCAGTACAAGGAAGTCCCCAAGTCCCCAAGACGTGCCCGCCGGCCCGACCCCCCAAAAACGGCCCCCCCAAACAGCCCGGCCCCGGGCCATTGGGGCCCGAAACCCCAGAAAAAGCAGTGGAAGAAAGGGCCCAGCAGGGACCATTAAAGGACACCCGCACCCCAAACCCAAAACCCGGTGGGGGCCCCCCGCCGGCCACCCCAAACCCCCCCGGGTGTCTGTTTTAAAATCAAAATAGATTTGGAAAACCCTTTTGGGTGCAAATTTCCCCATCTAGTTGTTGGGGTTTTAAAGGGGGAGGGTTTAAGAGTTAAAGTGTTTGATGCACCCTTGTTTCAATGGGGCCCAGTACCTCTGGGGTGCAAATTTAAAAAAGCGTGACATACCCACCCATGCTTTACAGCTGTAGCAGTTTTCTTTAGTCTGAATGACTCCTCCAAACATATTGCTTCTTATTGTAAAAACATTACCCAATCTTTGTCTCGTCTGACCATAAAACCTTTCTCCAGAAGGCCTTTGGATTGTTGATGTGGGCATTTACACATTTCTTAAGGGTCATTCATGCTCAATGTTTATTACACCGACTCATACAGATGGGGCCTTCGATTCACCCTCTGCCTTCATTTTGTGAGTATGTTAGTGAGTCCTTAGGGAGCTTGAGGGTGTGTACCCACATGCAACAAACTGAGGCATACCACAGGTTATCATGGGGGCAGTGTGGTGTAGTGCAGCTCATGGTTGATCAGCAAAGGGAACAAAGAATAAGACAACAAAAACGACAGAACCTTTCAAGGCAAATGCCACAATGTATTTAATGGCTCTACAGACCACCTCCGTCTATTGCCTTGGATCTCTTTAAGACTCTGTCGCCATGTCTGCTATTGTCTGAAACTTACCTCTGAATTCAGAAACTAACTCAGCACCGTCCTCTTTTGTATAAAGTATGCCTCACCAGCTGAATGAAGCCATTGAAAACATGGAGTCAGGAATGATTTCAACAATCAGGCGGGCATGTTTATGCGCATAAATGGTCTTTTAGACGGACCCTCAGTCGATGGCTTCTTTGTAGGATTGACACACGACATCCTTCTTTTTAAATACCAGTCTGTGTCACATGGATTATTTTGTTCTCATCATATTGTGCACTAAAGAACTGGATGTAGCACCCGCCCCTCCAAGTAAGCTGTTTGTTGCATTTAGAAGGCCAGTCAGGCTTTATTTGGTTCCTAGAGCAGCTGCCCAATGTTCTTTGTTGAGTTTGGGTCAGATTTATGAGGTGTGCTATAAAAATTAAGAAACACCCTGTTATGTACTCTTT